CAAATAATATTTTATATGTCCAAGAAACGTACCAGTTGCGATAATATGATGGAGCTTAAATTATTAAAAAGAAGGATGACGTCTTTTGTCGAGTGTTGTTAGTTATCTCGATAATATCTTTCAGTTTAATAACAGCAAAGTTTAATATTCGAATGGCTTTTGCCTATAACTTACAACTGTTTTTTTCAAAATTGTAAATTTTTTTTTCATAATTGTAAAATAGCTTTGCATACAAGACATAGAGTTAGATATTCTTTGTAGCTAATTCTTAGTCTTTCCGAGTTTTTGCGAAGTTTAAAAAATTATTTTAAGCCATAAGGAAATATACATAGATCAGGGTGTCCGGATTGTTTAAAAAAAGCGCCATTTCTGAAAAAACTCGTAAAAAATCGCCTATTTTTTATTTAAGTAAAGTTAATGAAATCGACTTAACAAATGTTTTATTTTAAAAATGAGATCTTGTTATAATATATTAAAAAAAAACGAATATAATACCTTCAGGGTAATAATAAACCACACAAATCACTTATATAATAGTTATGTACTAACAATTTTCTTTAAAAATACGCATACTTTTTAAAAATATTTGTATCAACACATTTTCCAATAGGACTGTGGAATTATTAAATTTATTATAACTCATACTAATTGATTAATCGCACAATCCGCTTTTAAGTACTCGGCGCTAAAAAATAGATAATAACCTATAATAAGGCGAGATCAGCTATTTCCACAATTTCTTTAAAATCCCCTATAGTGTCTGATTCATTTACATTTGTGTTGTTGTCATATATTGAGCCTTGATAACATCCTGTTTGATATTGCAAACGTTTTGAAGCAGAAACAATTAGCCTCCATTTAACATTTTATTCGAACTATTGAATTAAGGCTTTCCAACCTAATCCTATTTCGAATCTTAGTTTGTGTTGAATTCATTACGGAGAAAAACGCGCTCAACAGAAGCATTTGAGTGCGGCAAGGATAATAATATGAAGGCTACTTTATTTATATTTCCAAACATTTTATTGCAACAGGTTTTCACTCCGTAAGCAATTATCAAAATTCTTCAGAGTCAGATGGAATGCCGTTCTGAAAAAAGTTATTCCATGTGTTTTGTTTGTTATTCAGATAGTGTATTGGCAGGTCCCTGAAACTCGCACTTTTGATTCAAACACTTTTCTGGTGACAAAATCAAAGCTTTTTTAAAAGTATTTAATTGACTAGGTAATCGTTTCAAAAGTTCCTCGATTAGGATGATTAAACATTTTTGACAGTCTTTTAGTATGCTTACTAAGTCAAGTTTATCTCGCAGCTCATTAGCCTCTTCTGTAAAATTATCGTGGAAACTAAGTTTTGTAAATTTTTATAATTGGAAGAAATGTATTTGAAGGGAAAAAATCGCCAAAAATCGCCAATGGCGATTTCCTAAATATTTACGTGCAAATATCAAAAAAAAAAATCGTCTAATTGCCACTAAATCGCCAAATCTGGACACTCTGATATAGATGCAGTCCTTAGATAATGGTACTTTTCCACAGTTTGAAAAGGCATATATTTTTTTTTCTTTCAATACCACACTCAAACGAAATAACTGAGAGGATCTTAAGTATAAAGTTTGCTTCCTGACGCAAAGAGAGAAACCGGCTTCTAATTCAAATTTTGTAAAGTGCACTTCAAACTAAAAGTAATTTAAAATGAAATGTATAGAATTCTTGGACTATTTAAACATTGAAGATTGAACCATCTCATTATTGCTATTCAAATATGTCATAAATATAAAATAATTTATGGCTTCTTTGTACAATAATATGTACACTCATTTTAAAATGAATAACAATTTTATTTTTTATGTACTGTATTTTATTTATACCAAAATATTGTAAAAAGCAAGTACTCTGGCGTTTTAAAGCATTATCTGTTACTTACATTCATAATTTTGCTTTACAAAAAAGTTTACTGAAAAGTACTGATTTTTTTTAGCATGAAAAAGTATAACGTACTGATTTCGTGCATAAAAAATCTGGCAACCCTACCTTTTGATTGGTGGAGGATCTATAGGCACCTCGCTAAAAAAACGTGTGTCTTTGGAAAAATGTATCATTAACAAAACTACAGAAAATATTTCGAATGGAAACAATATAAGAAGAACGCAATAGCACACAGATTTAAATGAAGGTCCCTCGGTATGTATTGCAACTTTTGTTAAGATTTAATAAATATTGTATTATATACCTACGGTGACCAGACTCCTGTGGCCAAAAATCGGAATCGAAAATGCAATTTTGTGTTTAGAATAAAAACACGTAATTTTGTTTTTTGAATAAAAACACATAACATTTTTTAATACAGTTTTATTTAAAAACAACATTTAAAGCAAAGATAACAAAACTTAAAAAATGATCGCACATGTATACACACAATATATCCGGTGACGAGAATGTAAATAGGAAAACAACGTTTTAGAGCATAGATGGGAACACACAAGTTACATTGAAAACAGGCATGATACAAAAAAGAAGGTAGTTTCAATAAACCACTTTTGACGGATAATAAAATTTTTTGAAGTTTCATAAATCGTGAGTATACTCAGCGGCCTTGCCACTTTGATAATATTAAAACAATAAATCGGAGTACTTTCTTTTCCATATTTATACCAATGTAATAACATTTCAAATCAAAAACCATTATCAGTACTTGGTACTTTTTTTACTTACGTGCTTCGCACCTTTTTTTTATCAAAAATATTTAAAATGTAAACTGTTAAAGGAGACTTCATCGTAATTGTTCTTTTCATTTTGTAATAAAAACCAAGCGCGCATTATTCTGTTATTTTTTTGTTTTCTTATTTTGAATGCAATCTTGCAATTTAAAAATCGAATCCTAAAATATGTTCTTCCCAAATGAAAACTTTTTATATTGCGGTTCAAATTTACTTTAAATTTTTTATAAGATTTTGCAAAAAATTAGGCTTTGTGATTAGCGCATCATCATTGAGTTTCACAAATTTTTAATTTATGCAAAACACCTGAAGTCGGCTTGAACAGACCGCCCTCCGATAAACAACTAACAGATCGTCGCTTAAAGTACAAAACCGTTTATCAACGAAATGCACAACTGCGTATGTGAGGTTGCATAAATTATTTTGTAGAGTAAAAACACTCATATTTCAAAATGGTTCTCTTTTTTTGTTACAAAGAAATCGCATTTCAAGACGAATGGATAAGGCTTGAGCCAAGAGCTTGTGTGAGCAAATCCAATTTTTGGCAAAAAATGTCAGTTACGCGGTTTTTCAGAACGACGATACGCGTTTCGAAATCATGTAGCCGGCATAATTTTCTAGTTCATCATATTCCCCATTTTGAATGTACTGATAAAATCTTCTGCTTAAAAAAAAAAATATTTCTTCTAGTGATCAGGTAGCATGAATTTGATTAAATGTCATAATTTTATTAAAAGTCAAATGGTTAACAACAACAACGAATGCCATTAAATGAAACTACCTTCTTTTTGTATCATGGAAAACAGGCATGATTCAATAATACAAGGTTGTGTAATTTGTGAGAGCTAAAATTTGACACTCCTTTATCTAGATTTGTATTTTGGAAGTAGGAGAAAGGAGAAGAATGTGATCGCCTTTTGCGAAAACGGTAAAAGTACGCAAAGTATACAATTAGAAGTAAAGGTGTATTATTAATTCTATGCGAATTTGCAATATATTTGGTGTTATAATAGAAATACTAAACAATGCATAAAAATATGCATTTTTGATTTCAGTTATTCGTCATTTGCTGGAAGAAATCTGGAATACCGACCGTTCAGCTATGCAAAAACGAAAAATGCAGATCAATAGAACTTTTTATGCTCATTTCAACCATGCCAAATTATTTGGCGCAAGTGAAAAATTAAGACGTTCTAGAAGGTTAAATTTCAGTTTTTTGATTTTTTAAATATTAATATCTTATGAAATATATAACCGATTAAAAAATTAATGACGTCACCACCATGATAATTGATTTGTCTTTCAGCTGATGCACATAATTTATAGCTTTTTGTATTTTTAAACCAAAACCACTAAAAACGAACAAATCGATGGCTGATGGGAAGATCGACCTATCTCGGCAGCCAGTTCGAA